TTGTTGTACTACTACTTACTTCTCTCTCTCTCTCTCTCTCTCTCTCTCTCTCTCTCTCTCTCTCCCTCCCCCTCTCTCTCCAGGTGCACTGTCTATCCACGCATCTCCTTAGCGAACTCGGGACAACCGGTAGGACTAGAAAGAACCAGCAGAATTCTCTATTTCTTCCTCCCCCCCCGTCGCTCTTCTGTCCTTGTCGCCGTACTCTCTTTCCCGCGTATTGTCGATATGAGTACCGCGGGTACAATCAGATCTCGCGACATTTAAATCTCTCGAAAAACATCGGTTCACGTTCAGGTCGCATTACGCGCAATTCTCCACGATGTCTATTCTCTTTTCTTACGTTCGTAAAGGTCAAGTATATACGCTGTTATACGAGAATGAGAGAGTCACGTGTAGAGCTCCGAATACAGGCGCCGCTTTTCCCGGATTATCTCCGGAACTTGTTCCATAAACGCGGGCACGTTTATTACAGCGAACGACTTTAGCATGAAGAACCCACGACACGTCCTTTCCATTTCGTTCCTCCGCTAACTCCGAAACGGAGATTTTATATTAGGAATGAACGATATGAAAACAAAACATCAACATGGTGTGGAGCGAGCTCATGAAGATACTTTACAAATATTCTTCTAATCTTGTGAATTTAGACGCACTCAAAAGAATAAAGAAATAAAAGAGATAAAGAGTTAAGTTACATAGAAAATTAGAAATACAGAATTAAATCCCGATATATACGAAATTATACACAATCAAGGAGCAGCAGGATATTCTTTCATTGATTGGAAATGATTTTCCGTTTTCGTAATTTTTCATCTTTAATTCTTATTCCTGTTCATCGTGTCTATCTCATTTAAAACCTGAAGTTGTGATTGGCGCTTTTTTTTTCAAGCGGAAACATTGTGAGAGCGCCTCGCTATTGACACAAAGGTGCAGCATATCAATAATTCCACGTCAATACGGCAGAAATGATGTATAGCATTCCAACTGAGTTTATTATGGAAAAAAAAAAAAAAGAAAAAAAACACTCGTCAGCCCTCGAGTAATGCCAGCACCAACGGTCACCGGTACCGGGAATACCAAGACTCAAATAGAATACGCGCGCTTTCTATTTGCCGCGATTCTACCCCCCGTCAGCGTATTTACAATCCAGAAATGCAAAGAGCGGCAGTACCCGCTCCGATTTTTCGGTGTATGCGCGTTCATCTCTGGCTTCGCAGAGATATGAAAAATTTGCACGCTCAAATGAGCAAGCTAAATTTGCCGCGCGCGAGAAAGCGCTGACCGGGATGGATTCTAAGAATAGTCTTCCCAGTTCACCGAGATGATACACCCGCGGGTCCACCATTCCGGGACACGGGAAATGTACAAAAAACTCACGTTATGCGAAATGCCGGGCAATGTTTGTCTAAGAACACAACGCGACGCAATACCCGCAGTTTTTACGAGCGGTTTTAACAAGCACCCAACTTTGTTTTTTCGACGCGTCTTTGTTTACGCTACGAGCGATGCGTACACACTGGAAGCTTGCATGTAGCAAGCTTTCGTAGCAAAATTTCAATTCGAGTTCGTCATTTAATAAAGTTAATTAAATGCACGTCTCTGCGTACCGTGTGTTCGTATTACGTATTCCGTTACGTGTGTTTCTTAGCTTGTGGAATGAAAGGCGGATGAAATCAACACGCTTCTCCGGCCAGTACAGTAGGTAGGAAAGGTTTCTTTAAAAAGAAACAGGTAAACGGAAAAAGAGAATCAGAGTCGCGAGCAGACGCGGGTGTGTTCCGAATGAAGTGGAAGAAAGGCGCGCGCGGTCACGTGATCGCGTCATGTGAACAATTCGAAAACGACGACGGCATTCGCGCGCCGTGTTTCTCACCTGGGACTCCACCGACGTTGAATGGCATTTATCCGCTACGTCGTTGCCACCCGCCCGCCCGCCTCGTCGCTCGCATATATACATGTACTTACCAGGCGGTCCTTGAGACGATCTTGCGGCAGCATCCACCGACGATGATCCCTGGCGACGCGCGTCACTGCCGCTGGCGTGAAACTTGCGTAATGGCGTACTACTTTACACACTGATCGACGAGAAGAAGAAACCCGATCGCGGACACTCGGACACGCGGTGCGTCTCTGATCGATGTACGTCACCTCGCGAGCGAACGGACGACGTAGACGACAAGGCAGACCGAGAGAACGAGCGGCCGCGCGGCGACAGACGAGCCGAGAGTGGGGAGAGCGACGCACGAAACCCTTCCGCGACGAAGGTCGAGGCGCGACTGATTTGAAGCGCGCCGCTGTCGTGCGACGCGCGCGGCCAGCGGTACGCCGTCAAGTGTGCGCGCGCGCGCGCGCGCGCGCCTGCCTGCCTCGCCCGCTCTCTCTCTCTCGCGCTCACGCCGCCGTCTCTCTCGTCCACTCGTTCGTACGCTCGACCACGCTCGACCGCGATATGTATACCTGTCAATCTCTCACGGGACGGACCCGTCGCACGATCATTTCCTACGCGCCGACAAGTTAAACGTCCCCGGCCTCTGTCGCTTGCAATTTTATAATTTCCCTCGATTATCGTCTCGTAAAGTCTCGCCGCGACCGCGTGAAAAAAGGAGCGCTTACTTAGACTCTACCCGCGCGTTTCCAGAGAACGCTAAGTACACGCGACGTGTCCTTCTTTTCCTTTTTCTCCCCCGCGGATCGATTTTCCGTCGACCTTGCGTGATGCAATCTGATCTCTGATCGCGTTTGGATATTGTAGTTTGCAACTTCATAATTCCGTGTAATTAGAAGCCCGTAAAAGAAGTTGTAATCATATTAATGCCGCGTTACAATTCAAGTTACATCGCGTTGGAAAATGGACTAATTTCCGATTTTCCGGCTGACATCCCGCGCACCTGTCGATCTTGAAACGTCATGCGATTATTTTTGATCCTGACAGGCCTTCACGAGAATAAACACACTCGTACATGTAATTTGCAATTTTATGATCCGATGCAATTATCATCCCGTGAAAGTCATTTATAATTGTATTAAACGCCTCTTTATCCCTCATTTTCAACATGCGAATATTGGGCCTTGAATATTTCATTTGTAGCTCATTGATAATAATTTTCCATCCGCGACTTTATATGATTTAATAATGATGCCCGTTATATGAAATTATTATTGTTATTATTGTTAAACACTTTCGCGTTGCCTTGTTACATTTCCAATTTTGATTTATGCAGAACACGCTAGTGTTTTATGCTAGAATTGTTACGGAAATCATTTACGCCAATTATCGACGTATGATCGCGAAATTAACTGAAGTACGTGCCATGAGCGCAAATTATTATTTATCATCAAATAATCGATAATAAACAACATACGATACACCTAAATTTATAATCCGATGTTTTGTGTCAATGTTCGAAATTTTATCACGCCCGAGATTTTCAGCTTTAATACGTTCCAGTTTATACATGATTTGTTTTCCATGCGTAATAGTAATTTATCATTAAGATACTTTAATTAAACTCTCTTTCGCGTGTATACACGCGCGCGGGAAATGTCATACGAACGGCGGAGAGATTCCGCGATATGATGGAACGCACAATAAGACAGCGCGATGTAGACTCCATTATCGAGGGGACGTCTATTGTGCCTTTCCGTTGTATGCACGTGTCGCGAAACAAAGCACGACAAAGAGCAAAACACGTAACCGGGCGTTAAACAAATGGTTGTCAAGCGCCCAAAAGAGCCCGGTGCCGCCGGCAATAAGCATTGAATTATGGCCCAAGAAGTAATAAGGTCCTGTATACCATATAAATGGGCCATTTAAAGACGATATTATTGTCAAACGTAAAGCAAAATTTATGTCAATATTATGGAGTATTACGTTGAATTATATGACGTTACATTTTAAAATGAATCATCCGATTACGTTTGTGAATCGTACGCGTCGAGCTGACTAATTGGATAGAGAACGAAAGAAAATTTTCATGACGTGGGATAGAGGGGACAGCGAACGTGTCTGTTAAACGAGAAAAGTTAACAGTAGTCGAAGAAAAGTTTTTTATTACGAAATCCAATTTCTTGTCATACAGAAGCTGTCCTGTTTTCGGTGTCCGTGTCTGTGCGTAAAGAGGACTGCGACGTGAGACGTGCCGTGGATTATTTACAGAATTCCAACGCGAAGTTAGTTACTTGTTATACCGTCGTCGCAACGTTGGTAGCCGCGAACGTTTGATTGAGCCGCATATCGGAAAAGTTGTCGGACGCTCGAGGGAAATCGTGGCGAAACGTGTGGCTCGAAATATAACGCTCGACATAATCTCGATTGGTAATCCGCCGAATAATAGCAGCAATCCTCCCCCTCCAACCTCCCCTCCCCCCGTTCTCTCCTCGCACCCTAATGACGCGCAGATTTCTGTTTCTCATAACTCGGATACGGGGCGAAAATATGGGCTCCACGTCGAGCGGACGACGTTTCTCGACCGCAAGACATATCGTGTCCGTGACACGCGACCCTTTCTCGTGCATACATTTCTCTCTTTTTCTTCTTGTTTTCTCGTCCTTTCTTTTTCCCTTCCCCCTTTGAACCTCGCGCGGCACGTGCGAGTTTTCGTGATGCATGAGTGATGAATATGCAAGACGTGAGCGATGGCGGTGACGGGCGACGACGGGCGACGGTAACGGCAACGGCAACGGCAACGGCGGCGACGGCGATGGAGATGACGGGCGACGACGCTGGGCGATAATGGTAATGATAATGATGATGACGGCAAGAAAAGCACGAGCCGCAGTGTCGAGTATGGCGCGGTTCCACATATATCCGTATCTTCACTCCGTTGGCCGTGTATGGACGTCCCGCAAAGTTTGACGTCGACGAGGAGGGGAGTGTACGGCGCATGATGACCCCCCTCGTCCTCACTTCCAGTTACGATGCGGGCGCTGTGCAAGGGGAAAGAAGAGAGAGAGAATATTAACGTGGGAAGCAACCGTTGCTCGCAGGTACGAGTGCGGAATTATTAAATAGTGCTAAGATGATAAGCCGAGGAGAGTGGCTCTGGGTCGGTTTCCCTCCGAAATTCTATGAGCGACGGAGATGACTGATTGATGCACAATTTTAGTTTGCGATAATTAATTTGCGCGCGACATGCCAGTGATGTTTAGATTAGAGGTTTGTTCTTTTAGTCCGTTGAATGTGATGTTACTCTCTTTCTTTTTTTTTTTTTAGTTCGTTGCTTGGTTTCTTTGCTTGATAACTTTGACATACCGTTCATGATGTATTTCGCGCTCTTTAGCGCGGGACTGCCTCGGATGCGGATTGAAACTCGCAATATCAAAACTAGATTAGCTAAAAAATTAAGTTAAAAACGCAAAATTAATACGATGCCGATCTTGCCAGACGACGTAGAAACTGGCGGTCGAAAAATTCTACGTTCCTGTGTATCTTCTCTACTTCTTTTTTTTTTTTTTTATAAAATGTGAAACCGTACGCTAAAATGTTTGGTTTGGAAAAATAAAATATTTGGATCAAAAAACCGATTGCGAGCATTGTTTTCAAAAGGATTTCAAGTGCAAGATTTGTGAAAAAAAATAGATTTTATTACATGACCTGAAAAGTGATGTAAATCAAATTGTGTGCAAAGTAATTCACGTACTTTCGGGAGGCGCGGGTGTTGCTTCCGCTGGAGCTGCAGGTATCGCGTCTGCGGGTGTAACTGCAGATGCGGCTCCTTCAGCTGGTGCAGCTGGTCCACCTTCTGCTGGAGCTACGGGAGGAGCAGCTCCTTCCGACGGAGGAGGTGCCACAGGAGCTCCTTCCGTTGAAGCTGCTGGTGTCATGCCTGTGCTAATTTTTTTTTTTTTTAATTACGAAAGATGCTAACATTTTTATTTCATTTAATAGAGTCTTTGTATTGTAACATTTCCCTTTTATAATATTCCTTTTTGCGCTCGAAAAGCTAAAAGCATGCATTAACATTGCATAAAATTGATAATGACTGATCGACATTAATCTTTCAATTGTGACATGCAAAAAATACACTTTAAATTTTCTGGCAAGTAGAACATTTTACAATGATTTATTATTTTAATAATAATCAGCATAAAATAATGGTGTCATAAATTGTCAACAAAAAGCTTTTATCGATTATTCATTTACTTTCGTTTGCTTTTATTGCAAATATATCAATCTTTGCGAGACACACGTGGCATTTACGACTAGAAAGAGGATTAACGTACAGTTTAGCTTCGTTTTGTATTTTGTGATACTTTAATGCAATTTTTTGTCAATTTATATTTTATTAATATAAATCGAGTACATGATAATTAAGGTAAAATTAACCTTCGGCTGGAGGTGCAGCGGATGCTCCTTCGGCAGGTGCACCCTCGACGGGAGTGACAGTGGGTGCTGAACCTTCGGCTGGAGGTGCTCCTTCAGCAGGTGCACCCTCCGCTGGCGGAGCTGTTCCTTCCGCTGGTGTGGCTCCTTCTGCCGGAGGTGCAGCTCCTTCCGCTGGTGGTGCAACTCCTTCTGCTGGTGGCGCAGCTCCTTCTGTAGGTGGTGGAGCACCTTCCGCAGGAGCTGTTGCAGGTGCGCCTTCTGCATAATTAATATTCAATTAATATTAATAATAATATAATTATAATTATAATTATAAAATGTTAAAAAAGATAAAGATAAAAAATATATAAATAAAATTGTCAACAAAGAAAGATTTCTGAAAAACATAAATAAGTCACTATGGATATTTAAAAAATTATTTGTATTTTAAAATACTTTACTCTTTCGAGCTAAATTATTTTTCATTATTATCTTATCTTTAATTTTATCTAATTGGCAACGTAAATAAAAAAATTTTTTTTATGTAACAAAATATAAATTCCACTGGATAATAAAAATTCTTAAATTGAGATTAATTAAATTAAATTCTCTAAATAAAGATTCTAAAGATATAATTGCTGACTATATTATATATAATAATATCAGAGTATATTATATACGCTCTAATTTAAATATTTAAAGAATTATATTATTGAGTAATGATTTGCTAATTATAATAATATTATGATAAGTATATTATGATAAATATACTCTAATTTAAGTAATTCAAGAATATATAGATTGCCGTGCGTTTAATCGAACCAAATTTGATCAAGCATAAAAAATGAAGATCCAAGCAATTACCAGCGGGGGCTGGCGTAACTCCTTCCGCCGGCGGGGCACCGTCGGCTGTTGGGACAGCTGCTGGAGCACCCTCCACTGGAGGTGCCGGTAAGATAACCGGCGTCGACGCTGGTGCGGGTTCCGCTGGTGGAGGTACAGGAGCTGGAACTGGAGGAGCTGGAGCAGGAGCTGGCGCCGGTTCTGGGGTCGGTGTCGGTTCCGGTGGCGGTGGTTCCGCCGCAGGTGCTTCGGCTTGTTCGCCCTCCTACATAAAAAAAAACGCGTACTCGATAAATTAATTATTTAACAATATTTCCTCGCAATATCCTTATTATTTAAAAATTAAATATTACATACGCAGCGTATAGCGATATTAACAAATTAACATAAAAGATATTTTAAGATTACAGGAGAATGTGAAAAGTTAGATGAGTGTATAATAATAGCGTTTATTTTTCAAGCGTCTTGCCTTCCGAAATAAAGACAATTGGATAAAAATTACACGGGATATTTAATTAAGATCGAGCATGCGATTGGCAAGCGAAACAGACTCGTTTCGTCATGAGGAGCGTCATCGAAAAGCGTTTCCGCGGACAAAACAGAATTGCGCGTGCAGCTGCGGGAGCCGTCACCGACACGCGTATTAAATTGCGTGATTAACGGTCAACGCGCACATTTCGCAAATGTACTCGCATTAAACCGCCGTTTATAGATATGTCATTTGTTCCGCTCTCGATAATAATGCTTTATGGAACGTTCAGCCACGAGCTTACGACGCGCCGCGCGCTTCCCGTGGCCTCGTGGACGGCGTTTTGCGCCATAAATCATCGCGGCCATTGTGATCGGCGAATATTGTCAAGATAATTAAACAATGTACACGACATCCGATACGATTATAAATACGGTCGAATGCATGAAACGCATGTCGAACGAGGCGGCAATGAAGGATAGGTTTGCGCCAGCATGTCGAAAACGATCGACGAGTCGCGAAAACAAATAGCGAGATTGCGAAAATCGACACATGTAACGCGCGATCGCGAATGAAAAAGGATACCCGACCCCGGGTTTGCCCGGGGTTGATATAATGAGGCTTTGTTGGACGCACCGTTTAATTGGATATATCAACGTCCATTATCGAGATATAAATTGGCGCGATAATTAATAATAAACGGAGATAAAAGAAACTGCGATACAACTTGAAACGTTAAACGCAAAGCTACATAGATAATTTAAAGGAGCTATATGGATAAACGTGAAAATTTTAAATATGAATACTTTTAAATGAATAAATTATTAAAGACAAATATGTGTGACAAGATAAGCGTGGCTAAATGTATTTTTTTCAATGGATTAAATAAATATTGTATATTTAATTATAAAAATATCAACGACAGATTTAGAATGAAATGATTTTGATCGAAATTGCATATTGTTGATGCGCAATTTTATTTTCAAATATATTGGTCGGCAAAATACTTCTCTCGCAATTGGAGGGAAGTGAACAAATCCATAAATCAATAAAGCAGATCGAAATTGTCAAAGCACATAAGAGCGTGTGTATCATAGCGAACGTGATGAAGCTGTGTCGAAAGCGTCACTCAATAGCGAATAGTTATGAAGCGAAATCCGATTAGTGACATACCTACCGTATCTCTGGATATTGGCTTATCTGCAAATTAAAAAGCTTTTGGCATTATTCTTATTGATTAACATTACGATGATTATGGCTCGAAATGCGAATCCGCGCACTAACGAAGTTTGCTGTATCTAACATATCTTTATGAATAAAAATTACAAAAGTTAAAATAATAAAAAAAATGCCAAGAGCTATATATATTTTTTATTGAACCAATGTTTGCATGTTCAATATG